CGCCGCCACCACCACCCTCACCCCGATTATGGTGCCTCAGCGGCGGCCGGGAGCTGCATGGGGGAGCGCAGGCCGCTCTTGGGAAGATGCCCCGGAGCTGCCCCTGCCAGAGGGCTGGGAGGAGGCTCGCGACTTCGACGGCAAGGTCTACTACATAGACCACAGGAGCCGCACCACCAGCTGGATGGACCCGCGGGACAGGTACACCAAACCGCTCACCTTTGCCGCCTGCATTAGCGATGAGCTGCCTCTAGGATGGGAAGAGGCGTATGACCCACGGGTTGGAGATTACTTCATAGACCACAACACCAAAACCACTCAGATTGAGGACCCCCGGGTACAGTGGCGGCGGGAGCAGGAGCACATGCTGAAGGATTACCTGGTGGTGGCCCGGGAGGCCCTGAGTGCACAGGAGATCTACCAGGTGAAGCGGCAGCGCCTGGAGCTTGCACAGCAGGAGTATCAGCAGCTGCACGCCGCCTGGGATCACAAGCTGGGCTCCCAGGTCAGCTTGGTCTCTGGTTTGTCGTCCAGCTCTAAGTATGACCCTGAGATCCTGAAAGCTGAAATTGCCACTGCAAAATCCCGGGTCAACAAGCTGAAGAGGGAGATGGTTCACCTCCAGCAGGAGCTGCAGTTCAAAGAGCATGGCTTCCAGACCCTGCAGAAAATCGACAAGAAAATGTCAGACGCTCAGGGCAGCTACAAACTGGATGAAGCTCAGGCTGTCTTGAGAGAAACGAAAGCCATCAAAAAGGTCATCACCTGTGGAGAAAAGGAAAAGCAAGATCTCATTAAGAGCCTTGCGATGCGCCCTGGCCGGTTTGGCTCAGTGGATAGAGCATCGGCCTGGGGACTCAAGGGTCCCAGGTTCAATTCCGGTCAAGGGCATGTACCTTGATTGTGGGGAGTGTGCAGGAGGCGGCTGACCGATGTTTCTCTCCCATCGATGTTTCTAACTCTCTATCCCTCTCCCTTCCTCTCTGTAAAAAATCAATAAAATATATTTTAAAAAAAAAAAGAGCCTTGCGATGCTGAAGGACGGCTTCCGGACTGACAGAAGGTCCCACTCTGACCTGTGGTCCAGCAGCAGCTCTCTAGAGAGTTCGGTTTCCCGCTGGCGAAGCAGTACCTGGACATGAACTCCCAGACGGACATCTCGGGGAGTTTCGGCACCAGCAGCCACAATCAGTTGGCGGAGAAGGTCCGATTGCGCCTTCGGTACAAAGGGGCTAAGAGGAGGATCGCCAACCTGAAGATCCAGCTGGCCAAGCTGGACAGTGAGGCCTGGCCCGGAGTGCTGGACTCGGAGAGGGACCGGCTGATCCTCATCAGCGAGAAGGAGGAGCTGCTGAAGGAGATGCGCTTCATCAGCCCCCGGAAGTGGACGCAGGGCGAGGTGGAGCAGCTGGAGATGGCCCGCAAGCGGCTGGAGAAGGACCTGCAGGCAGCCCGGGACACCCAGAGCAAGGCGCTGACCGAGAGGTTGAAGTTAAACAGTAAGAGGAACCAGCTGGTGAGAGAACTGGAGGAAGCCACCCGGCAGGTGGCAGCTCTGCATTCCCAGCTGAAAAGCCTCTGGAGCAGCATGCGGTCCCTGTCCTCTGGCAGCAGCCCGGGGCCCTTCTGGACTCCTCCCCCTCCACCAGCTTCACTGACCTCTACTATGACCCCTTTGAGCAGCTGGACTCGGAATTGCAGAGCAAGGTGGAGTTCCTGCTCCTGGAGGGGGCCACGGGCTTCCGGCCCTGCGGCTACATCACCACCATCCACCAGGACGAGGACGAGGTGGCCAAGACCCAGAGGGCTGAGGGGGGCGGCCGCCTGCAGGCCCTGCGCTCCCTGACCCGCACCCCGAAGTCCATGACTTCTCTGTCTCCACACTCCTCCCTCTCCTCCCTGTCCCCGCCCTGCTCCCCTCTCATCGA